ATTGCAGGGCTGTCTCTAGTAGGAGCAGTGACAGCCATCACTTACTCAACTATGGTGTGGGTGCTCTCTGTGAGCCAACAAAGGCCTCCTAGTATCTCATATGAGCCCCTTTCATTGCCATCATCTGCTGCTAATTTCTTCTCGGTTATGAATGCACTTGGAATTATAGCCTTTGCATTCAGAGGCCATAATTTAGTTTTGGAGATTCAGGTATAGACTGGTAAGTTTCAATCCCTAATGAAAATGTTCCTTGCTAGTCATCTAAGTGACTTTATTTGGCTTGTTTCAGGCAACAATGCCATCAACCTTTAAGCACCCAGCCCATGTCCCAATGTGGAGAGGAGCCAAAGTTGCATATGCCTTCATTGCTATGTGCCTCTTCCCAATTGCCATTGGAGGTTTTTGGGCATATGGTAATCTTGTAAGTTCTTCTTACTTGACACTTCAGTCTTAGTTTTTCTCTGGTATAAAAATCTCCAATAATAGTTAAAAACAGAGGAATCGTGTTAATAACCAATTAATCCATATATGTTTAAAATCTTAAGTTGGGAGGTGAAACACATAACATATACAACACCGTTAAATGTTGCAAATTTACTAATCATTGCGTATTTTTCTCTTGTTTTAGATGCCTTCAGGAGGGATCCTCAATGCACTTTACGCTTTCCACCGCCATGACATTTCAAGAGGGCTACTTGCACTGACATTTCTTCTAGTGGTTTTTAATTGTCTCAGCAGCTTCCAAATATACTCCATGCCAGCTTTTGATAGCTTTGAGGCTGGTTATACTAGCCGCACAAACCGCCCTTGCTCTATCTGGGTCAGGTCTGGTTTCCGTGTTTTCTATGGATTTGTCTCCTTCTTCATAGGAGTAGCCCTCCCTTTCCTCTCAAGTCTTGCTGGTTTGTTAGGAGGACTCACTCTTCCAGTCACATTTGCCTACCCTTGCTTCATGTGGGTTCTGATAAAAAAGCCCACCAAATACAGCTTCAATTGGTATTTCCACTGGATCCTTGGTTGGTTAGGTGTTGCTTTCAGCTTGGCCTTCTCTATTGGTGGTATTTGGAGTATTGTAAACAATGGACTGAAGCTGAAGTTCTTCAAGCCCAACTAAGAAGCAGATCCAAAGTCCTTATAAACAGGTCAATTCTGTAGAATATAGAGTCGATTGTCAAAATCTTGTTTTTTCGTATCAGCTCAAAATTCCTACAGCTTTTATGTGTCAATGTATGTGATGGATTTGGGTTTGAAAGTTCTATAATTATAAGCACTACTTGTTTGAGCATGCCTAGATTGACCTCTACTTTTTTCTCAATGTCTCCCTATGAAGAAAATTGATGATAATCATCATGTCTGATGTTATATTGAAGCAAAATTGATTGCAATTGATTGCAATGGTTGGTAGTAAATGGCAAGTGCCTGAAACCATCAAAATATATGGGGTAGGCTTCAAAATGCATGCGCATGCAGACATGGGAAGTCTCATTCCATTGTCCTTCCTAGAAGGATAAAGCACATATAATGGCTAATCATGGGCATGTGCTGTGTGGTATGCTTTTGAAAAACGTGGCTGCTTTTGCTGTGACCATACTGGGTCAAGTTCACACCATGAAACCTGCCATGATGAACTTACTGTGTGATATTGCCACCAATATAAGAGGGATCAGAACGAAAACCATTAAAAACCCATAAAAAGGGAAAAAAAAAAAAAAATAGAAGTCAAGTCAAGTCAAGAAGGGCAGGTTGTTTACCAGATAAGAATCTGCCCTTCCCTGACAGAAAGAGACAAAAGCTAAACAGTCTGCATTTTCCTGTGCCTTGTTATCAAAAGAAAAATGCATTTTGAGTCTGATTTATCTATCCAAATGCAAAATGTACAACACAATAGTTCATTTAACCTTTAGACAGGGACCATTTTCTTGGTGCTTTCCTGGAAAGTGAAATGTTAGCTTCTTGCACTTTTCTCAGTCCAAAGAAACACAAGAGGGAAGAAGAAATTGTTGAATGTCTGTTAAGGTATAATGGTGGGGCTAAGGCAACAATCCCCACAAAGATAAAGCAATAAACCAAACCGACCCCATTTCTTTATATTTTATTTTAAATCCATATTCTTCCCTCTACATACAAATCTCTGCCGCAATCTCGTTCAAAATGCCCAAACACAGGCATTCGGGGGGAATCTGGGAATGAAATGATTTTAGGCATAATGGACACCTAGCAACCTTAATCATTTTAATACTGCTAATTCCCTACCTTTGGTGTAAAGTTAATCCACCTCCACTAATTTAAATGAATAATGTGTTAAGAAAAAAAAAAAAAACCCATAAGTGACCATTCAAGGAATTAAGGTGGGATTCTTGTGTTTGCCATTCCAGACCCAATAGATTGCATTTCCAAGCTCTTGATTATTGAAATGGAGGAACAGTTTTTCATATTCATGCTCTTCTTTGAAAATCTAAACATGAATTGATTACACTTTTACCAAAGTAAGAAGACACAAGATTCAATATTTGTACCATCCCATGCATTG